TGCCAGGGCCCGTGCCAGCCGCACCGCCCGCGCCCAGCAGCGCTTAGTACCGAGGCCCGGTCGCACCCAGCTCGTGCCCAGCGTCGTGCCAGGGCCCCAGCAGGCTCGGCACGGGACCGAGCCCGGCCAGTCCATGTAGCCCGTGACCATCCGGTCTAGAGTGAACCGGCGGTCCGACCCGGTCCGGTTCAGCCCGACCCGATTCAGTTAGTGAGCGAACCGGCCGGTTTAACTGACGGTTCGAGTCAGTTTTGGTTCGTGATTTTCGGTCCGAGTCTTATTCCGAAATTTAAGCAATTTTTCTGAGCCAAACCAGATCAGTTAAGCTTATCAGTCTAATTTCCGGACTTAGAATTATTTTGGTGAACCCGTAGAGCGTTCCTTTTTATCCAGATGAGTAATCTGATAGAGTAGAGCATCTTAGCATATTATTGAGCATATGACGAGCATAGTACTTAGTGTATTTGTTTGCTTATATTTTTATGTAGCTTGAGGAGTCAGCTACCAGCACAACCACACTTACCCATTTTCAAAGCAGATCAGGTGGGGACCCAGTCTGGGTTATACGTTGAGTATAATAGTCGATATCACGTTCAGGTATGTATATGAGTTTTATCTGCTTGGGGTTAAGGCCGAGTTGTCCTTCCCTAAGTTCTGGTTGTGGTCGTGGGTTCTGCAGTAAAGCTGTTCCCGGGACATTTGTTTAAAATGTTTTGTATAACTAATATTACCACGCATTTTCAGACATTCCACTATGCTTGCTTTTATTTCGAACTTGCATGACAATACTTTCAGACTTAAATAATTTATCCAGTTCGCTAGTACGAACGGGACCAGCTTAAATGCAAGAGTCGATAAAAGATTTAAATCTGATTTTCTTAAAGTCTAAACCAGTTGATATACCAAGTTAAGAAAACGGATTTTCCAAGCAAATAAGTTTTTAGCAGCATCCCGAGATAAGTTTGCAAATGATTGCGAAAAATTTATAAGCATTTTCGAAGGTAACATTTGCGAAAAATTGGCCCCAAGTAGCGAGTTGTTGCAAATTATGAAAGTATAGTTTATATATTTAATGACATTATGTTATTTTGATGATATATTTTTTTAATTAACTAAAAACGGATCCTTGATATGCTCTTAGTAGAAGTTTAATGATTTGATAATGAGTTTATAGACAAGTGAAATAGAAAAATATATTTTTATTGCTATCTATTATATTCAAACTTGTTTTCTAGAGTAGTTTGATTAATACTGATAAAATTATATTTGTTGGGACTAGGTAGGATCCTTGATATGCTCTTGGTAGAAGTTTAATGATTGATTATGAGTTTTAGACAAGTGAAATAAGTATAGATATTTTGACTTTTTGACTGATAACCTTAATTTGAACAAAAATTCTATGGAATCATCGGATAATTTTTTTTATGGAGTCATCCACCACTTAATGTATTGACACCTGTTCAAAGTGTATTTATTACATGACACGTGTCATTACACTATTGGTGAATAAGTGTGGATGGCTCCATAAACCGAGCCATCCAATGGCACCATACCAAAACTGTAACTTTGATATTCACACTTGCTTAATTTCTTGAGTTCTTGAGTAGTTTGATTAATGAATGAAATTGTGTAACTATAAAAAAAGTTATATCTATGCCCATAAAGGCCCCTGTATATTTTATGAAAAGTTCTAATTAATTTTTAGTTACACTAAAATTTTTCATTTAGTGTTCATTTGCATGTTTTTTGTTAATACGACCTATTTATTCACTTCGAAATATTCTTATTCAACAGCTGTATAAAGAAGTAAATAGTTGAAGACAAAGTAGAAGATGGAGCAACTTCACAGCTGTTTGTTTTTTTAGCTCAAGACATTGGTGATGAGAACATTGAAGTATGAAGCTATGGGTGACAGTGAAGATAATTATTATAAAGCCATCTAGACTTATTATATTTTCATGACCCATTATATGTGTGTTCATGTTCTTGTTTTCGATTTTGATTGTAAATAGTTTTCTAGTAAATCTTTCATGTACATTGCCATATTATAGATTCAAATTTATTTTAAAGTCTATTTTTCATTACTCGTTCTATTTGAAATGATTTAAAGTGGTACCGAACATTCAAAATTGATTTAGAGATAATAAATAATAAAAATATAATAAATAATAAATTAATATGATTGACAACCAAAAGTATTACGTTACCACTTGAAAAGTAATACAAAATAAAAATTATAGTGATACAACTATGGAATAAAGTGTTACATTTTAATCAAAAGTGTTGCAAAGATAGTGTTACCTAAATGTTATAGGCAACATTTAGCTTATGTTACTTCAATATGTTGCAATATGTTACTTAATGCCACACATAATATAAGTGTTACCAAAACTTATCAAAAATATTACTTTTTACTTTAGGAAATACAAGCAACTGCAGCTTCAATAATTGTGTTACATATTGTCTATAGTAATGCTTTTAGCTTTTATGTATCACTTTTTGACGCTAACTAATACTATTTATGTTGTAGTAACTATTGCGATTTACAATTATTAATTTTAGTAGTTTATCAATGTTATATTAAACAACAACAATAATAATAATAAATTACTACAAAAATAAAAATCCTAATCATTTTTTAACTTTTTTTTTTCGGTACAAATCATTTTTTAACTTTAACAATAGGATGGTTCTAAAGTTGCAAACGTAACACAAATTTCTTACCGCCATTTGTGATTTAATTATTCAAAAAGTATTTATAAGCTCTGGCGAAACTAGGAGAAATGATCATGAAAAGTTACAATAAAAACAAAATACATGGACACTCATTTGTCCTTAGAATGGTATTTCTTGANTATTTAATAATTGGGCACTAAACTCAATTGTGGGACCTTTTAGAGCCGCCAGATATGGCCTGAAAAAGAAGTCCCTTTAAAAAAAATCTAATGTGGCAATTGTTTGGGAGATGAGATAGTTTGATTATGCAAGTCAAATTGGACTAATAGCATGTACATAAATCTGTATTTTACATCTTTTAACATTCAAGTTCACATGAAAATAAAGGAACTCAAATAAAAGATTAAAAAAATAATAAAAAATAAATTCTAACAACCTACACATATAAAAAGAACACATGCATGATACATGCAATAATATTCCAAGACAAACTTACAACTTTGTAAGAAACCAAAGTACAACATGCAGCAATCATGTTCATCTCAATGTTGCAAGAACCACACTTATTGTCTTCCTCTACACTGTTATTACGTTTGCACTAATCAAACCCAATCCAAATCATTTGAGAGGCAGAGAAAAACTAGGGAGAGAAAAAAAAAACGGGCGCGAAAAGATGCACAAAACGAAATTGCAAGAACTGTGCCACAAACGAAAATGGAAGCTTCCGGAATACGCAACCTCCAGAGAAGGCCAAGATCATATGCCTCTTTTCAGGGCCTCTGTGTGGGTTTGTGGCAACAAATTCGATAGCGGCCCAGCTTGCAAGTCCTCCAAACAAGCCCACAATGAAGCTGCCCAAATTGCATTTCTTCACTTAACATCTGGTCATCAACATTTTCTTTTTTTCTCTTCTTCCTTTTTTTCTGTTTGTTTGTATCTATCAATATGAAGTTTAAGAAGTATGTTCTGTTTCGTTGGCCTCTTTTTGGTTCGGGTGAAGGCCTTTTCATTTTCTTTCCTTTCCTTTGATTTGGGTTGGTTAAATTTGAAAAAGTAGGTATGGTTAGTTGTTAGTGGATATAATAAAATAATATTTAAAATAAAATGATTAAAATTAAATTGATGTAAAAGTAAGAGAGAGAAGATATGATGTGATAGTTAGTTAAATTTATGTGAGTAGATGAATAGTGAATTAAGGTTGATGTTGTGTGTAAGAATGATTGATTGATATTATTTAATTATATTGATAATATTAATGATAGTAGATTGAGTTAAAGTTGAGTTAAAAAAAGTGGTTGAGTTAAAAATGAAAAAAAAAATTGGATTGAACTTGTATCCAATCATGCTCTAAGTTTTTGCAATTCTTTTTGGCTAATGTGTTCTATGTTGTGTTCAGGGTCGATAAATAAAGGGAGCGAAAATAATGATAGCACAATTAGTACGAAACAAGTGCAGAGTTCCATGCGTTTGGAGGACAAGACGGCTGTGAAGAACTCTGAAAATCTTGGTAAAAAAATTTAATCTTTTACGTACAGATTAATGAAATGCCTCTTGTTGACCGAACTCTAGTTCTTGTTCAAGTAAGAATAAAACTGTCGCTTGCAGAATTATTGAATATTTCTTTTCAGCTTCAATTAGCATAATCATGAATATACATACTTAACATTTTTCTGAAATTTACTAATAGTCCCATAACATATGCATCTACTTACTAGCTGCACCTTCTTCATTGGTTGAATTAATAAAAAAAAGTTAGACACGGGTATTCATTATTCGAAAACTCTAACGCATTTTTTCATTAGTTAAACTTTTGTTCTATTTCTCCTCTAGAAATGACAAGTCACTCAAGTGTGGTCATATTTTTTTCATGAACTGTCATCAGAAAAACAGAACAAGTTCAAGACTAAACTCGAGATGTATGCTCGAAAGAGGAACCTTAAGCCTCCGGTATATCGTGAAGAAAAAGTGGGGCATCTATACAGAGCTGTAGTCTCCATTGATGACGAATGGTTTGAAAGTGTGGTAGTGTGTGAAACTACAGAAGAAGCTCAAGATTCTGCTGCACAAGCTGCTTTGTTATCCTTGTCAACTGATGCATTTCGTGAGGTAAACGGCTAATTTGTCCATATAAGTACACAAATTTTCTAACTTGCTATCCTTAAGGTGGTATTATATATTCTATTAGGTTTTCATGTTACTTTTAATGTTTTTGATGTTGCAAGAACGACCCACGTTCCTACAAAATTCTTCTGAACGAGCTTGCGAAAGAAGAAGGATTTTTCATTCCAGTGTACACTACTAGCAGATGTGATGAAGCTAAGTTTCAGGCTTTCTCATCAATTGTTGATGTTGAAGGAGAGATTTTTGAAGGGGATAAAGCAAATTCCAAGAAAATGGCTGAGCTCAATGCTGCTAAGGCTGCATATACTGTATTGATCGAGCGTAAGTTTGCCTCTTGTTTATTTATTCATTTCTGTACTTTTATGCTTTTGCTTAATTATAAAAGGCACAAATTCTTTATTGAAAAAAATTTCAATGAAATGATCTGTTTTAATTTCTTGTTTGAGAAAAATATATGAATAATAACACACTATAGTCTATAGGATATAAATAGAGTGCACTTCAAGTCATGCAATTAATGTGTAAATGTTGTAGGGAAAATTCACCAAGTTTTATTTTTTTTTTTTTCCGGTAGGTTCGTATTAATTAGTTCTTAATAGCTGGAAAATTTCGATTTTCTCTGGAAAATACAATGTGATTTAACTGCATAGAAACAGAGAATTTTCGTCATTTCGGACAAAATTGTTAAAATTTCCAATTTTCTTTCTCCAGGTAAGTTATTTGAGCCTGGCGACTTTCTACCACGCTTCTCATCAGGTGAAGATAGTCTCAAACTTGTTCGTAGCATGGGCTCACTCAATCTTTTCGATCCCGAAGAAATTCCGAAATCTGAGTGTCCACCAAACTTCAGTTCAAGCATGAAAAATGAGGCTCAAATACAAAAATTCACTGGTAAATAACTAACTTCTGCTTTACAGTAATATAACAATGACCATTTTTTTTACCACAAGAAAACACATTTAAAGTCTCATTAATTTTTCGGAAGCCCAGTAATAGTTTTCTTGTGATTTATGCATGTGACATTTGCTTAATCATAAACTAAGTGTAAACATTTGTCACAGCAGGTGAAGAAGAAAAGGTTACAGATGAAGATTGTGGCAAGAAAAAGAGCAATGGCACAAAATGCTATTTGCTGTGTAACAGGTTCAAGATTTTCACATCCATTCCAAACATGGTGCTGCCACGTGGGACTGTTTTGCTGCCAATCAGTGAGACTATGTGGACCATAGTAACCCTGGACTTCCCTAATGAGAATTGAGAAGGGCACATAACTATAACATTTATTATTACTTATTAGGCTAAAATGTGTGAATGATGTGACAATTAATGCTTGTCTGTACCATGAAGTTTTAATTCTGGTGTCCTTATGTGTTTGAGTTCGAATGTATGCTAAGTCTGTACTTTTCCGATTGGTGTTAATTATAGAAGTTTATAATTGAAAAAGTTTTGTTTGGGGTTCAATTTGATTATGGCAGACTAGTGAGCTTTGAAAGTCAAATACTCATGTAAATTGTACCAAACACCCCCTTGAGGTTTGCATTTAGTACAGTACTCGAATATGAAGTATCCAAACGAAACAGATTTCAAATTGTCAGCCTTTTGTCCCCCGAGTTATCAGATTGGGGGGTTGTTCTGCTGATTAACTGTCGTCCTCCGAGTTTGTCTGCTCCAAGTTCTCTTTTTTACTGTCTAGTTTGCCCTGAGACCTTGGGCTGAATAGCTCTTTTTTTCTTGGGATCTTTCAACTCGTCAGCCCAAAGTTTTACCTCTTTACTTTGCAGTGTTCATCCATCTTAAGAGGTCCTGCTGAGCACTTTCGAGTTTTGGGATCCCACTACAAGTAATGACTTTATTGTGCAATGACTGATTCTTACTTGATAACGGAATTAACTCTAATCAGATACATAATCCTCGGTGGACCTCCAAGCGTGCCAACTAGGAGGTCTGTCCTTACTTGGTATGCACAGAACTTGGCAGAAAAAGACTTATAAACTCAACTTATGGACTTCCATCACTAAAAAAAAAAAAAGGAGTAAGGGTTAGATGTGGCTTTTAAATACTTTGTGGTGCTCTTCCAGCCTTTTCTCATAAATATCCAAATCTTTCCGACCTTGCTCTGAAACTGTCTATGGCGGGAAAACACCTCACCAGGCCTTATTCGTCCTTTCTACGTAAAAACAACAACTCGTGGATCTTCTCCGACCTCAAAGTACTTTATCGTCTTATCCTGGCCTTATTACGAAATTTCTTATTGGGCCTTGTTCCAGAGTTAATTCGGAATGCTCTCTAACGGGACCACTCTGCTTCACTTTCTTAATCCGCAATGTCCCACTCACCCGAGCTGCCGCTCTATTTTTTTCTTTTACAATTCACGTACTTTGCCACCGTTTTTTTTTTTTTTTTTTCATTTTAGT